GACAAACCACTCTTTTCTTCAGACTCCCCATCACTTAGGGGGATCGGGCCTAATAGAACGAGAAAGTAGCTAATGTGTTGCGCGGATGTAGCAGAAGTGATAACTATGAAAGGAATTTAAATATGGGAGGACTGGGGAGGATTGGGAGAAAGTGGAAAGTCAAGAAAGGACGTGTTATCAAGTTGGATCTTATGATTAGACTCAGGCTTGTTTCTATTCCCTCCAACGTCTGATCGGAGCTGTCGTCGCCTGCCTTCCAAATGATCCCACCGAATGGAATTTTCCATACTGAACCAGGCCTAGCGAGCGTGCTTGACTTATTTAACCTTATCCCTTAGCAAAAGCTAATGAGCGCAGTGCCAGGATACATAGAAAAGGAAGGAAGTAGTCTATATGGACAAACAGCTCCGGATTGTCATAAGTTGACGTCTGCGTGAGTCTGCCTATGACCTTGCCAAGCTAGCCTACATTGTTCATAGCATTTGGCACTCCTACCAGTCCGGCTAGTACCACACAGGAAAGAATCTCTCGCACGCTCAGTTATCCAGCCTCTGCTCGAACTTTGATCATTCAAAGGGCATATATGTGTATCCATTGCAAACGATGATTGATAGTAGCAGGTCTGCACGTTTTTATATGTAGACGATCCGTGACGATAGTCGCAAAACCTATGATACGGTCAAAAAACCAAACATACAGCCATAATTCTCAGTGGCAGCTCGAAAAACTAGCAGGAGCGTGCCCACTGCGTGTGGTGAGCGGTATCGCACATTCGCTGCGCTGACGTTGTGAAGTCGTCGATGAGTTTTTCATTCGCCAGCTTTCCATCACCGGTTCTTGAGCGAGTGAAGGAGGACCCAGTGAGTGGAAAAAACTTGCAGACGTTTACGTGGGAAGCTGGAGTTGACTGAGTAGCAGAAAGCATTCGACCGAAGGGCTCACACCAGCGGCTCAAAGGGATCTCCTGCGAAGTAGAAGTGGCTTGGTGTCGTCGCGAGAATTCAGAGGATTTTCCAAAAAATCAGCGCACTACCTTCGGAGAAAAGTGTCACAGGCCTACCATCTCTCTGTGAGACTCAGATGTCGCTGTAGGTAGTAAAGGTAATGTTATGCCTTGTTATTCCTGACACCCTCATCCGGCTTAGACTGCAAATGTCACAAAAAATGAAGCTGTCTGTGAACTCCTTTCTCTTCCTCTCCCCCTCCCATCTCCCCGTATGTACCCTCAGGGACAAGGCAGTAATCAGCATCACCACCCAAAGCTGGTTGTGGGGCTTGGGAGTGAGAACTACACTTGAAACTGGTACTATTAAGCTTTTCGTCAACCACTCGGGCAATGTAATGATTTTCTTAGCCACCAAATCGATCGTCATCGTCATATTACGACAACCGGTCTCTCTGAACACACCGGTGTGTGAACGAAGTGAAAACCCCGTGGTGGGCTATGGGCAGGATGACCTTCAACAAAGTGTTGTTTTTGTTTATGGGAGGATGAGACGCGATTCCTGGGATTGAGGTCATTCCGGATAATTAAGTGAGCCACTATTCAAGGGGTACTCTGGTCTGACAAGCAGACGCCTGACATTGTTCCACCTACGTAATGCCCTAGAAAATGGCCAGTAGATGAGGTGGAATGTCCAGTTTTTTACACCAGGCCCCTCTTCCTGTAGAAATTGCACGATGTGAAATCCGAAGAGACGTCCTTTGCCTCTACCCATTGCTGCAATGTAAAAACTTCCTCGAATTCGGCAGCTGTAGTTGTAATGTGAGACCTATAGGCACTGAGACTGATTCTTCCAAGGTTCTGTTGTTTGACTGGTTGCATTCCTCTTCAAATTGGAACCGGATGGGAAGGGTAGGTGAAAGAGGGAAGATATGAAATTGATGGGTTTAGTCGAATAGAATAGTTTTTGTCCGAGTACCGCCATTGCATTGAAACTCTTTCTCGCCGTTTAGAGCCGTTTAGAAGATGGGGTTTTGCCGAAGTTTCTGTAGAAGGCGTTCATTCCCTGCCTGTTCCAGAGTAGCAATATTTCGATAGATAAGGGGGTCATGTTAATTTCAATTGGTTGTTGAGAAAGCGTAGCCGGATCTCCATTCGCACCTCTACCACATCAAGAATAGTCCTGGGATGATCAACAGTTTCTTTTAACATCTGCGAAACTGAGATCCATTCAGAAACATACAACCGTAACACAGAATTTCGAGTTCCTGAGCTGTGCAGGCCCTGTTTGTGTTTTTTGTTTTTATTTTCCTGGCGATCTAGCCGTAATAAATATGCATCTATTAGTAGGAGCGGGTAATGACTCGTTTATGGGAGTTCTATTACGCGAAGTTCAATTCATAGGATCACAGGATTCGCTCTGTTTCGTCCCCTCTTTTAACTTCCCCATCAGAGTAAAACTTCTTTATGGATGGGAAGAACAAGTGGGAGACACGACTGTTTAGAAAAAAGGGTCGGCCTGTTGTTTACAACTTATTGTGCTGCACCGCCGACGTCCAGATCGCAGTCAGTGCCTTGCAGACTGTCTGAAGGTCGTCTGAAGGCCACTGCCACCTTAGGAACCGCTGTCTAAAAGTGATCGGATCGAAATTGCGTTCTGCGTATTTCCGATTGTAGTTGACAGATACCGAAATGGCAGTCCAAAGATGCATTAAAACTCGTCCCACACCCTCCAGCAATAGACCACCCTAAGGCCTACATAAAAACAAAATTTTGTTATGGTTGGGGCATTCTAATAGATGAATAAGGCGTGAAAGTGAGGACAGATAACAATCACAGATGATTCCATGGATATGCTTCTTGCAATGGGCGATAGCAGTTTGTAGACTGACGTCTCCGAATTGTGACGTAAAAGTGTTTGCTCAGATGTTGTGAGGAACAACTGCATGTTGGCAATGAAAATGCCAATTTTAGTGGCGATTGTGTAAGTGGAATGACTTGGTGTAGACGTCATCATCGGCGCACTCATTTCTGAAAGGCTGATTCGATTTCCCCATACAACGGGTACGTAGTAAGTCGAATAGGACAAACGGTAGGGAATTCTCATCCTGAAGTCGTATAAAGAGTAGTTCTATCAGAAAGAGCCGTCAATACTTTTGCTTACCATTAGCCTTGACTCGGGCGAGCTCCTTGGAAAGGGAGTTGCGAAAGCAGCACTACTAAAATGAGGATGACTCATGGACTTTTGAAGCGACCCATAGGAACGAATTTTTTCGAAGAGGGTATTCATTCTATTTGATACAGTGGAACAATAACAGGTAAGACCTTATATGATTCGTTATATTACTTTATTTTATGATATCATACATTATGGAGACTTTTTCGCCGTCTGTAGTTGTTATGGGAAACTAGTTTGAAATCACAAGGCCGCATCTTTCCAGTCGGAGGAAAGCCGACGAACTTTTTCAGTTTTCCACTCGAAATAATCGTCAATTACCTTGCGTTGGCCTCTGATGATAATTGGTGATGGGTGGAAACGATGAATAAATAAAATGGGAGAAATAAAAATCGTGGGGATTCCGATTAATAGTAAAAATGTTCTGTTCATCGGGCAGAAAACAAACGACATCTAGGCTTTTGGGGGTGAATTTCAATGATGAGTTCAAGCTGTAAGCATAAAAGCTCAATAAAGAATTGCTCCCGCACCAAGTGGAAACAGTCATAAACACTGATGGTAAGGAAGGGCAGAGTTTCCACTACCTGAGAAAGTATCACATACAGGGAAATACTTCTGCACCTTCCAGCTCCTGAGATTCATACCATGATTTTATCGTTGTTGTGTTGATCAGGACTAATCACCTACATCTCCTCCCATCGTTATTTGAGAGTGCTGTAAAACGGGGAACTTTAGAGCTCCAGATTGGAACCAAAAGGAAGGTTCCATTTATGTTTTGTATGTTAGTTGGTATTCTTAGCCAGTTGGCCGCAATTGATCAAAAAATGCAGATCATCATCGATATTACATCGAAAATTCTTCGTGAGGATCCAAAGATTGTTGAGGCATCATGGCTATGTGTCAGGTGCTCTTCGCATCGTCGATGCTCGTCGACGAAGCATTAGACCTGGGAATGCACGTGGACCTGTTTCGAGCGGTTATAGAAATTAGTAGAGAGATCCCGTAGAGAACGTATTTTAAGGGGAAAGGCCCCTTGAGGGTACTACCCCTAAAAAAGAGCTGCTTGGTGTTTGATGTCGCGGAATGGAAATGATGAATCCCAAAGATGAAGTGGCGTGGATGGCCTCGAACTGGTAATCTACTGGCGCACTGCCTTGCGAGAGGGAGATACCTCTTGGATTTCTAAATCAAAGCGCTGCCGTTTGAGGAATGACACGGACTGGTGGATGATACAAATTCTATACCCATTCCCTTCAAAGCTTCCTGTGCGGGTTGTAATTATCAGACTATGTTTACACATTCCATTTATCCAATTAATTGAATGATTATTTTTGAGAATATCATTACTAGCATTCTGATTGCGAATCATTTTTACCAAACCATGCAGAAATGTTTGTAAGACGGAGAAATCCTGGAAGCAAAGAACATCTATACAAATTAGGCGAGACCGCATGTATTTATTCAGAAATAAGGTCAAAATGTAGACATAACCAAGTTCCGCGTTCCTGTGCGTGAATAGGTCCAACGTAAGATCCTGTTCCCATATTCCGTGGAACGGGAGAGTGCCGAGACTGAAAATTGTCTGGGATCCTGAACGAACGCATTCATTCAGGATCCTGGACCTGGACGAACTTGCACAGACGACTCACAGATTCTTAACAATACATTTTGCCCTGATTCATTATTGTGGGAGGAACTGGTGGAAAACTTTTGGTGGTTCCCAGGGTTACTTAACAGTCATACAAAAATTTTGCATCAAAGGTGAACAAGAGTTGGAAATTGATATTATTAGATTTCTCCCTCGAGTAGGCAATAAGCTGAAGGAATCTTATCTTTTTTCTTCAAATAGTATCTCTGTCTGTATACCACAGTGGTCATCTTCACAGCTTCATGCTTTTGGATTGGGTTTAGATTTGCTGAGTTCATGGCGTACATTTTATGACTGACTTAGCTGAAAAATTTTTACGATCGAGGGTTTTTTTCGGTCTCCTAATGAACAAGAACAGATTTTTGTTTATCCTGTCTGCTTATTGTTATTCGATCCATGTCTCTGATTTCAGTACACAATCATCCTGCTGCTGGCCCGGACCCTGCTGGGCTCTTGGTGAGAAATCTTGATGCGGACAAAACGTTTGAAGACAATGCCGGTCGACCTGAGGCTCTCATCGATCCTGACGGTCGAGAGTACATTGCGCCTCTCAAGCGGAAGACCCAAATGTAAGTAAGCATCTGTTGCTGAACAAAGACTATCGAGTCACTGTAAATGCCAGAACGCAAGTTGAGATACGAGTACAGAATTCCTGGGCTGCTTCAGCATAACTCACTGCGTACAGACCTCCTGGAGACGATATACAATTACATCATTTTTGCACGTCACATACTAATTGCTTACGAATTATACGCGACAATTCTAATTTCCTGAGGCAAGAATTCACGTTTTTAACTTGAACAGAATTATGGAAATGTGAGTCTCAGTCACCACCCATTCCCTTCAAAATTGCCTCTACCCGATCAAGGAGAGGTTGTACCGAAAAATAGTAGTACCGGTATAATTTCACCCATTACTCATACCTGAATCTTTCTATAAAAACCGTCTCGATTACCTACCCGATTCGGTAAGGTAATGAGGTATATGCATAAATGCATACAAGCATCAACAAGAAAAAAATTCAAAATTAATCGAACTTCACTGACCACATTACTCCTTTGATATTTATCCCTCGGTTTGCCCCCACCCAAATACGACCCCTGCTCCCCGAAAGGTTTCCTCCATCGCAGTTTCAACGACCCAATCTTGGCCCTGTCGCCTATCAGTATCTGCATGTTGACTCACGTTGAACACGTAAATGAATTAGATCATTTTTAAGTGACTTTATCAATCGGGTGGTGGAAATACCGTAATGTACACCAGGTTTATTTTATTGAACTGATTTTTTCTATTTGTAAACGATCCCGTGTGACGCTTCCGTTTCTGCAATCATACTGCTGCCCGTGATGGTGGAATCAAGCAATTTCCAGCGGTTCTCTCTTACATGAATGAGAAAAAAAAATGCTTTAATGCGATATTTTCTGGTTCTGTTTCAATTCTGGTGATTTCGCCCAAACTTCGGTTCTTTCTTAGTTTAATCTTCACCGAATTGTTTGGACCTTTCTTAGTTTAATCATTCTCTGCCGAATTGGAGGGATGAGCTGACGGCAATGGAGGATCGATTGAATCCGCAAGAGTGGTTGATCGACTTATACGACTTCGAAGTATAACTTTGTGATCAAATCATGAAGGACTGCATTAATCTCGAAGGGGGTTTTCAGTATTTGTACTTCTCGAATTAAAGACGCCATCACTTTTTTTTCCTTTGAAGAATTTGGATGAAATGCGGAGTAACAGAAAGAACTCATTGGGCTTCATGAGGATTTATTTGTTTACCTCGGGACTGATAAGAGTAATAGTTTCGTGGTTGAGCCCAGCGGCTCTCATCCCCTACACAGACCACCTGAGCATGCTTGTTAGCTGGACATATTGGTGAGGGACTACTACTACTCAGAGGCACTAGAGCTTGTCTCACAAATAAGCTGGCTCGTTCGTGTGGTGACAGATTGGAAGACCATTCTCAGAGTCAGTCCATCAGATAAAGTTTATGAGTTGCACGATTTCATGGCTAAAATTATATGAACAACAAGAATAGTCTTTTTTCAATTGGACGAGTTTGTCTGACCTTTTATGAAATCCTAATACAAAATGAACTTCCAGAATCGAGGAAGAGTTACGTCAAGAAGCTGAAGAAATTTCACGACTATTGAATCCAACACATCATAACGTCACCCCGTTGGTATGCTTTATGACGCTGATTGGATGCATTTTAGTTGTACTATGTGGAGTTTTGCCAGCATTACTACTTCCGGAGAACAGTAGTCAATACCTTAGCACCTATGGTAACCTATTTTTATTCCTAGCTAATGACTAACCTACTGAAGTTAACCTAAACTCATGCTATTTCAGAAGGTAAACGTAATCTCAATATGCTTCTCGCATTCGCCGTGGGTAGCCTTCTTGGTGATGTCTTCCTTCATATCCTACCTGCAACTTGGGACAACAGCGACGGTAAATTTACGCCTGAATTCAAATTTAATTAAATTTCCATCTTACGTTGTGTATGGACGTATAGCGAAACACAAAACCCTCTTGCGCAAAGAGTACGAAAATAAAAAGTAAGGTCACCACATTCAGATACTCACTCACATACTTTAGGACGAGCTTTTTTCTTGCCTTGAAAAACCGTTTCTGTTTCTTTTCGTGACTGGTTATGGTTCGAACAGGGTTTTTAGTGGTAAAAAAAGTTTTTGTTCCAACCCTGACTTGGTGTTGTATATTATGTTGTTACCAGTCGGGTCGCCCGGCTTACGCCGGGCCTCATTCCTTACTTTTACCACGTAGTAAGAAGGTGTAGTTAGGGGAGGGGGGCAATGATTTTCAACAACATTGAGGGCTACAGTGCAGAGGAGGGGTAGCCGACCCGACATGTTCTTATAAACAGTTCTAGGCGAAAGAATATGGTTTCTGACTAAGCCTCAGTAGGGAGGAGCGGTGGGGTGGGGGTGAAATGATTACCTCGTGCAAAAAAACCAGGATAAGGTATGAGTTGAATATTCAACTGACTCATTCACCTCGGGACCCCTTCCCTCTCGTAGCTAAAATCAAAAAACTGTTATTCTCAGCTAAAAAACGTATATGAGCATGATTATGACTAACCTCCTTATGTTGAAATTATGTTAAAAAAGCTAGAGGAGGTCTCTCAACTACATTATCACCTCCGATTTTTGTATAGACGTACATCGCACGATGCCGGTACACATCAAAACACAATTTGAAGTACAAACTTCACTCCACATCACTCACTTCATCCGCAGTACTCGCTCTACTCCATCAACCTACCCACCAAGATACTGCCTTATATATAAGAAGGAAGTGTAGAACAGAGCAAGGTTTTTCATATCACTGCCTTTATCGTAATCATAAGTTTTGCGGACGGACAGACCGACACACCCACACACCTTCAAACTTAAAAACACACCAAATTTCTGCTTTAGAGACAAGAGAGATATCATATTGTAGGAAAAGATGTTATACATATAATACACACAGTAGAGCACATAGTGCTGGAAGTGACTTCTCATTTACTTTCGGTTCAGGTAGCTTTGGTCGTATGGGACTGTGTACGATGAGTGGATTGTTAGCATGTCTTTTTATCGAAAAACTTTGCAGTACAACGGAGAAAAGTCAGCGCAAAGTCAGTTTAATGTTGGTACTGTTAAAGTTTTGTGGTGATCCGTCGTTTTCTTCAGATTTGTGCCATCATGAACTTGGCAGCAAATATGGTTGATAACTTTACCCATGGCTTAGCTGTTGGTGCCAGTTTTTTGATATCACCAAAGGTAAAGTCACTGCCTCAATTGGTATATGTTTTTGACTCTTATTTCGGTCGGCTTTTACCCTAAATAGGTTTTGTTCCATCTCACCGAAAAGGTCAGGCA